GGAGTAGCGCATTCAAAGGAGACTGCCTCAGCTGTTGGAGTATCCAGCGATTGACCAGGTCCGCCTTGCTGTCAGAGTCGTAGCTTTGAACAAGACTCTCGATCGCATACTCTTTTGCGGCAAGATGTTGTTTTTGGCTTTTGAGGGGGTCGTTATATGGCAGCGTAGATACGGTTGATAAAGCTTGTTTCGCTGTGAGTGGCACTGGACCATCCAGCAAGTGACTCTTCTGCGCGAGTAGCTCAGAATAACGCGGATGTTTTACAGTTTTGTACTTTTCAAGTATGTCGCGAGTGTCTTCAAGGACCATGTCTTCATATACCATATCAGGGTTCAACAAGTAAGACATTTGTAGGGGTAAGAACTTCTTCATGGCCCCCTTCTCCTCACATAGGAGTCTCAGTCGCTGTACTTCACTTTCAAGCTCGTTGATGACACCCTCCATTCGAGATTTCTCCTTCGGCAGCTCGGCAAAGAATTCCTCGGCATCCAGATTTATGTTTCGGCCTGTCCCTTCTCTCAGGGCTCGATCCTCTTCGTACTCAGAGTTCATAAGCAGTAAATCCTCATATTCCTCCTTTGCGTTCTCCAAATTGCCAACGGCGGTCGAAAATTTGTGATACAGGGGGTGAACGTCTTCCAAAGACTTGTCAGCAGATATTCCAATGAGGAAGTATGGAGTTTCTGAATCAGCGCCGCGGGTTGCGTCGGTAGTGCTTGTACGAGTCGGCTCAGACTGCTCTGCGTGGCAATCTTGTCCCGCCGCTAAGATGCTGAAAAACTTGGTCTCAAGTCCACTGAGCTCCTGCTCCTCCTCGTCCAGGTCAAGCTCTAGGCTTTCGTAGCTCGCTTCGCTGAAGTGGTACTCCTCCCTCAGTTTCAGCATTGCGGCCATACGGCTGTCAAGGATTTTGAGAGATGATGACAAGACGTCGCTCCGTTGGCTCACTAGCAAAGGACGTAGAACAGCCATGAATGCATTGTCAGCATCATCCTTTCGAAGCCGTAGATTTCGTAGCTCTTGTCGTCGTTGAGTCATATGCTTCCTTATATCCTGCAATTTTGCCCTCTTCTGCTTAAGTTGCTTCCACAAGTGTTCCACCGCGGCGTGCGATGAAACAGCAGATGACTGGGATCTTGCAGCTTCAGACTCGAGGAGGTCTGATAATGTAGGTGTGGTCCCTTCTTGGCGTCGTAACCTAGCAGGACTGTGTGACTTTTCATACTCAGATACCCAGTTTGTGATTCGATTTGTGGCGGATGACCTGTTTCGTCTCGTTGATAAATGTTGATTGGGTTGAGCTGGAAGCTGAGGAGGGAATTGCCTAGCATTGCGATATGCAAAAGTGTCCTCCTGAGAGCTATATTCAGAGCTCGATGCTTCTTTACTTGTTTCAGGACATGGTATGAACTGTAGTGTCTTGTTGAAGCCTTGACTAGAGCAGCTGGAGCTTTGCAGTTGCATAGGGCTCTCATTAGACCTCGTAATGCTTGGGGACGGATATTGCCGGAACAAGACATTTGTGCTGCTTTCTGACTGTGGTTGTGAGTTTCTGTGCGTTGCCGGTAGTGAAAATCTTTGGTGGTTTGTATCTAATTTTTCCGCAAGGAACCTTGGCGGCGGAGGAAAAGCATACGGCAGGGGGGCCTGAGGAGCTCGATCAAAGCGGAAGCCATCTGGCAGAGGAAAGGATTGCGACAGGATATGCGTTTCCTCTAAATATTACGTTAGTCTGGCAGTGAGGAACTCCACCTGCGGAAAGACAATGCGAACCATTTGTACCAATATTTGGGACTGGAGCGAGGTTGAGGGGAAGCTCAGGAACTTGGCGAGGCTGATTAAACTGTTGGGAGTATTGAGGGTCGCGATGACGGGGAGGAGGGGGCGGTGGCGGCAGGGCCCCGGGAATAGGTATCGCTGGCGTTCTGCTGGCGTGGGGAGTATGGGTCTCGGTTGTACGAGAAGACAGTGATGGTCGTGATATTGGCGGTGGTTGTGGATCCGGCGTAGTAACTCGGCTCGAGGCAGTCGATGTGTCGCTATGCAACTTCCAACTATCACTTCCCTTCATATCATCGTCATCACGCGACGAGGCCGTAGTCGCCAGCTTTTCCATCAATCGATCTGTACTAGCAGACATATCAGACTGGACAGCATGATCCGAGGCCACTATATCCATGTCATGATGTCGAGTCGACGTAGCGACGGCTCGAAAGGTGGCAGACTGCATAATGAAAGATGGTGACTGATGAATGTTTCTGAATCAGACGTTTCTGTTGCTGCTGCACCTCGTACTGAGCAGGGAGACTGCGTCAGCGATGGGCAGCGGCCATGCCTTGCCTGGAATGAAGGCATTCGAGCCTCGCGAACAAGGCCGAGACAGGAAGCGTCAGACTCGAGGTTGGCAAATACTCCGTCGGTCAAGTCGCTGTTCAGTATGGACGCTGGCGGGTTTCAAGAGTCGTCTTCCGCTTGTTTTCTGCGTGTTTCTTGCGACGGCGCTGCTCGTTCCCGCTGGACTCGTAAAGACGTCACTCCTTAAGTAAGAAGGTGTGTGAGGCTTCGCCTCCGTCGGGCATCCTTTTGCCCGCCCCTTGACGGGCGCTGATATTCGTCGGACGGACTGTCACAGAAACTCGGTCAAGCTTTGCTTTGTTGATTGTACTACAGCTTTGGCACCTAGGCCTCCTCGTCAGCTCCAAGCCAGCACACGGCCTTGCGACAAGACAGGCCCAGTGCAATCCGTACTCCAAACAGAGCAGGAAATTCCAGTGTTCAAGTGTCGGCCAGGGAGGGCAGGGCTCACAGACTGGTCCATGTCTTCGTTGGTACGCGGGGATTGGATGCAGAGAAAACGACAGACCAGTGAGATGAGTTTGAAAGCAGGGTGCGTCTGTTAATAGCCCGGGAATGGCACACCCAGGACACATCCATGTCTCTGCACAAAGTGTTCATTGTTGTCTGTGTCTGTGACACGAGGCCATCCGCGGAAGGACGAAATAAATCAAAGTGAAGGACAAGGGCAGCCTGGTCACAGCCGCCATGTCCAGCCACCAGTCTAATGCTCCCCGGACTGGCTCCTCATGCACGACTGATTGCAGCGGTGCATCCGGATTCCTGTACAGAGTAGCCAGCGCAAAAGAACCCACAAGGCACTCGACTTCGCACTGGACAGACAGACAGACAGACAGAACAGACGGACGGACAAACAGACGGATGGACGGACATAGACCACTTGACGGCCCCGGGGCTGACGCTGGTGCATCATGGACATGATGGACCGATGGGAAACGGAGGTGTAGGGTCGTGTCCAGCGTCTGTCGGACTGTCCACTGAGGGGACAGTTATGGGTGCACGGGTTGTGGGTCTCCCGCCACCAAGGCGCCACAGGGGAGGAAGGAGCCAACGGAACGGGCCTTCAGGGCAGCTTCGGCCAACTCGTAGGGAAGGAGCCACTCACGCGATGCGCAGATGGTGAGGAGGAGGGGCCAGCTGGCATGGCACTTGAGACCCAGCAGTGCCCGTCATCTTCCAAGCCTTTGTTGCTCATGATCCTCGCAGTCCCCGTTTCGAGCTCCTTTCCCCGTTGCTAAGCTGCACTAGAGCTGCGGATTCTCCTGCAACTGGACGTGGGTATACCTGGTCAGGCTGCGATCTGTCGACTCGTTTCTCATTTGCATTGTACCGTACGGAATCGCAAATCTGGCGCTGGTGCAATGCCCGCCCGCACCTCTCTCCGCTTACGCGCTCAAGCACGCCAACGTGTCCTCATCTGAGCCGGCGACAGGGCTGGGTGAGAATATTGAGGCTCTGTCGGATGTGCCTTCACAATTGCTTCGTCTGTTTGGCGGTTGCCTAGAATTCCTGGTGTGAGAGCTGACAGTTGAGTCACAGTCCCATATAATATGTTTCACTTTGTCTGGCTGATCAGGGCTGGATATCAATGCGGGATGCACCACCATTTGGAAGTGCGCCTGGGATGACTGCCCACCATCACCTCCCACGCCGCGGACCATGGGCCCAGTTGGTTCAATACAAAACGCTGTGTCACTCAGATCCAGGCGCGCATTGTGTGCTCATCATGGCCCGGACAACCCCAAGTTTGCCGGTGTACAACATTGAGGTGCATTGTGGACTTCACAGCAAGCCGATGGAGTCTCCCACCATGGCCAACCGCTGCTGTCCCTTGCTCTTCATGGAACGCCAACGACCTGCCCACAATGAGAAAAACACATCTCCAGCGCTCTCCTGTGGATGAATTGCTGACTGGCTAGTGAGCTGACCGGAGCACTAGGCTTGACCTCCCGAGTGGTTGCACCCATGGAATAGGTTCATGGCAAAACACGCAACCTCCAGTGAATCCGGGTCCCAAGCTGGGTCTCAAGACCGACGTGTGCGCGACCATTCTGTCCGCTTCCTGCACTCCACCCCGTGGTAGCTTATCCTGTCCTATGCTAGTTTTGCTATCCTATCCGTGTGTGTTGGGGATGCCGTCAACCCACTTGATGCAGCACCGTCAGATGCCAACCAACCCAGAGACGCGGCTGCATGGGCACCGCCGCCGCGTGCGCAGAAAACGCCAGAGAGGGGGGGAAACATTGGCCCACGGCCTACCCACGTCTGGCGGCAATGTAATAGTTCTTTGAGACGAATTTACGACCCGTGCGGCGTGGGATCCTCGCTATCTGGTGTTGTGCCCCAAGCCAACTCACCCGCTTGTCGCAGCGGCAACTTGGAGGCTGCCGCTTCAGTTGCTTATAGCCTCCACTTTGGGTCCTTGAGCCGCACCCGCCCATGCTTTGGATCCCCCATCCTACAAGAACCCCTCTTGGCCATCTTAGGATAGGTTGTGTTTGTTGCTGATACTCGCCTTCCTGGCGCAACTCGTGCTTGTGACTCGCCTTGTTCTTGAATAGCGCCCTCGTGTATACTTGCACATCAGACACGGGCAGAATATCGGCCGAGAGGCTTTTCATATGTTAGCTACCCCAGCGTCACAATGGACACATGGAGCCCTTGGTCGTCTTGGGCCTACGATCAGGAACAACAGATTACGTATCGTGTTCGGCAGGACAGAAACGGTGGGATACCCAATCTGGATCATTACCTTATTCGACTTCATTGCTAAACCACTAGCAGGAAATTTAGATTATGATTACAACTATGATACCCCTCGAGAATCTGGGGATGTTGCGGGAATAACTCAAAGCCTAGGAAATACCCGTCTCTCTCCCTCTTCCTCGAGCTACGAACAGCAGCCACCCAATTCACCAGGTTAGTTGTATCAAGTGAAGTGGTTTCGGTGTTGGACACCTTTGCCAAGACACCATATTTCCACCCCCCAGCTTCTGAATACTCTTGAAAACTGACAACGTGTCCTGTTGAACTCAAAGAGAACTATGTTGTAGCTAGTCATAAGGACAAGGAACGGTCCAAAGCATCCAAGTCGAAAAGCAAGGACAAGGACAGGTCATCAAAAGAGAAGAGCAGCAGCAGCAGCAGCAGCAAACATTACTCGCATGATAAGACTTCTCCCTATCGTAAAGGGTATGGAAGCTCTTCAGCTTCGGCGTCTTCTCACGGCCTTGGAAGCTCTTCCACCACGCCGCAACAGAGCTCCCATCCCCCCTCATATGATCAAGCACAGTCACAATGTAAGAGCCATGACCACTGACAAACGACCTACTGTCACCTATGCTTACCAGAGCAGACTCATATGATACGCAGAAATACGTCATGCCAGGGGACTACCAGACATCGGAGGCACCTTACGCATGTATGTCGCTTTGAACAGGCAATTCCGTCTACCTACCTGGCCGCTCAGTATCAGTACTCGCGTACAAGTCTTACTAATTCTTACGACAGCTACTCAGGGCTCTGGCTATGCTACGACTCATGCTCAACAGCCGCTGCCACCAGGCTACGATGATATCCAAAACCTGACATATGGCATGGGTCAAGCTGCGGCCGGCCCGTCAGACTTGAATTACTCTGTTTCAGCACATAGTACGTCAAAATTTCTTCTTACACGAGCATGTTTATCCCCCAACCTGAGTCTAATAACAGCAACACAGCCTACGAGCAAGAGGATGATGGCGCTTCCACTCCTCGAAATTACATTGCCGCAGATATGGGAGATGAATTTGACGCAATTGATCCAAGTAAGGGACTGATCATCCATATACATGTCTATATCGCTCATGTCGTATATCGCTAGGGTACCGAGTTGAACACTCAAATAAATTCGAGCCTGGAGCGGTGAGTTCGCGGGTGCAAGTACAACCAGAAAGCGGTAATACTGATATATCTCCAACCCATAGATTTTCAAGGTGCTCTGGTCCGAACCCAAAGGATCCGCGGACGGTCCAAAACATCCCAGTGTTTCTGGGAAGCAAGAAGTACAGAACAAATATGGTGCGAAATTCCATGTGGGATTTCGCCGCTTCATCGTGATCGCAAATGACCATGGGCATTGTACCTGCGTGTGAGACTCAGCCGCCTGATTTTGTACAGTCCAATTCTAGCATAGCGGGGCAAAGTGCTAATATTCTATAGCCCGATTCTCACCTATGGCGGCAGAGGCTGTAAGAAGTCTGGTGTTAAACCCAACAAGCATGGAATCGTTTACGAAGCAGGCCAGAGACCTCGCCAGGTCGAAGGTGAGCCTCGGCTAGGATTTCAGGCCGTTCAGGTTCACCTGACAGAAGATGGTGAGAAACTTTCCAGAGAGTCTCGCGTAAATTATTCCAAGCTGGTGACTATTGAACACAACGTCAATGTCTTTTTCATTGGATTTGTTGCGCAAAATAGCTGGCCCATTGTTGAGGAAGCCGTCAATCAATGTTGGGACCAAAAGGTCCACCACCGACATCCAAAGCATGAGAGATAGAGCGGTCATTGCGGCGCACTCGACTCATTCTTGCTTCGGCTCACAGACACGTTTTTCTCTTACTCTTTACCATATCTCTCGACGCGATATAGCTATTTTAGGCGTATCGCAAAGCACAAATACGTTCCTCTCCCAGCCGTGCAATGGCCGGCTGACTTCCATGCTGTGGAGATTTCTCTTCCGTCTCGCAGGCTTTTAAAGAAATAAGCTGCTTATAGGAGTAGGGAGATCTTATGAAAGATGATTTGGGGGTAGCATCAGACAAGAACGCAGAGGCTAGGTCAGGTTTTTCGCCAATTTTATTTTAATTTTTTTTTTTTCCGTTCCACTTATTCTTTCACGCGGGCAAAACAAGGGTCAGTTTGAACAGAACACAGCTCTACATTTAGGTAGAGAGCAACACGTCATGGAGGCAAACGGTGATAACCCTTTAAGGTTTCATCTCTAATGTCATCAGCATGTTGTTTCCTTTTTTTTTTTTTTTTTTTTTTCTACGCCTTTTCTGCCCTCCCTTCTGTA